GCCGATCAATGACCAGGGATGTATTATTAATTATAAGTTAGAATCTGAATTATTCAAATTAGAATCATTCAAAAAAGGTTTAACCGCATTCAGTATCGGCACTGTCGCCGAGCATATCTTAGTGGGCCTCCAATAAATTTTAATTACGACAGTGAAAAAAATAAAATTATTCCAATATTATATAATTTGTTTGCCAAATTGTTTTTGTTCATTTATGAAACGATCATGCATTAGGTTCATTTTATCTAAACAAATGTGGTTAAATTAAAATTTCCAACGAAATTGTTGTTCATTTCACTATTTGGGCCTCACTTGAAAAATTTTGTCGGTCACTGCCGTATCGTAACATGATTGAATAATAAATGAAAACAGGTATAAATATATTAATTGTATTTTATAGCCACTAACTCAAGGCTTTTATTTATTGGCTCATTTATTACTCATTGTGTCATGCGTCGTTTATTATTAGAATGTTCGCCGTCGCATCGCTGACACACAAAACATGGGTTCCAATTCCATAGAAAATCTGGTAACTGGACCCGGCGATGCTTTTTGCATTGCGATGCGTAGCCAGGTATTTTTCCATTGAGTATTAATTTAGGTGACCGTACATTTGAAACATGTACATTTGAAACCATGTGTATATCCGCGGATTCAATTTATATGCGGGTGCTAAACCCATGGGTTAGGGTTAGTATGGATTCAAATATCCGTAAAACAAAACAAAAATCTCATAGGTGCAATAGTATGCAGGTGCAATTGTCGTGGGTTCAGATGTACGTGGTTCAAATGTAATGGAACCTTTAATATATAATAGCCGAGTTAGACCCTAACAGCTCGCGGAACGAAAAATTGAGATGAATGATACAGTTACATTTCATATGGTCGAGCCCTAAAAATCAGCCCCTGGACGACGTTTCGGTAATCACCCTTGACCTAACTAAAAAAATGAGACACCTTTATTTTTACGTGAGTGCGAATAGCATATAGGATTTAAGGGTCTGCCCTTAAACTCGCCCAAGACTGAGGCCCTTCACTTCTAAGCGAGTGCTCGTAACCTTGCTGATAGCAAATTCTCTGATAAAAACTTAATGGCTCGCTTTATTGCCGACCTTTTCTTTCCATGGCATAGTTAAACTTTATAGTTATGTACGACATGTTCAAAGAGACGTTCCTAGGTTTGTTTAGTAAACCGCAAAGTTGTTAAAAACATTCATAAAGGCGACAACAAGGGCAGCATTCGAGTGTAAAACAATTTGTTTCCAGCTCCGTGTGGTGGTTGCCTATACCTCTATCCACAGCTGTATTGTCACATGAGTAACCAGAAACGAGTCGATGAATCAAATTGTTTGCTAAGATCAGAATATAAAATTATTGTCAGGCAACCCTCAAACAGATTACGGCTTCGACCTTTGCTGCAAGTCTTTTTGTAAGCACCTACTGATATGTATCAAGCTAATGGACTTCTAAAAAAATCAGCATCTTCACAATTAAGCCTATTTCATGTGGTCGTTGCTCACCTATATTCATAATGATATTCTTACAGGAAAAGCCGTGAGAAAAGTGGGCCATTTCATTGTTAAGCTGCGAATAGCCGTCATAGACTGCTTCAACTTAAAAAATAAATACTTCATGATTTTAAAAAAATTGCAGATATGTTCTATATAGGGTGCCCACACCTTCGCTGGTTTAGGAAAACCAATAATGATATGTATAAATTAAATGGGCTTTGAGAAGAGGATATTTGCAATATTCTCGCGCAAGAAGACCTTTCAGATATGTTTTATCAGCTTTTCACCTGCTTCCCTCCAAGCGAGGCTTTAGACAAGCAGTGATATTCAGGGAGTTCGTAAGCTTTGGTAGAACCTCTACTTCCCTTGTTACTATGTTTGAAACGTACATGAAACAGAAAAGCCTTTTGTCACAATATATTTATATATCGCGTCTTCGCATAGTATATCATATCGTGCATTACTTATGTATGAAGTATGAATAAGATTACATTCAATAAAGCAGTAATACGGTCCCATGTATCTATTTAATAGGGCAACTAGTGGTTAAAACCTTCACGAAGCACAGATTTTGTTTCCATTCATAACCTTTTTTCCCCCCCATTTCTGTAACAGACACTAAACATTATATTGTAAACCTAATTTGTTACCAGAAGAAAGACACATAACTTCACTGTCCAGCGAAATCAAAGCCGAGAACGTGGTAAGTTACATTTACAATTGTTTTATAGTCGTACCATTACTGAGGGGAACTTAGAGATGAATATATATATATCTGTTTATAGTCGCATATGTATAGCCTGTTTGATATCAATATGAAGAGTATTCATACTTTTCAGACAGTATGGACAGTACAGCAGATGGTCAGACAGTAACTATGAATGTGATAACGTGATTTATAATTAATATATAGGATTGAGGGGTGGTAACAATACATAAATCACAACCGTTGTTAGATAAAACAATGTAAAATTTCCCGACGTTTCGAGTTTCTGAGCCGAAAAACTATGTAAATGTGTTGCGTATTTTCTACTATCTCAGTGCCATGTTAGAGGTGAAATATACAGTATTTAATACATGTTTTCATATTTACTGTCGTTGTTATGATAATCGGAGGCAAAGCTGGGTAACTCGATTTCTAAAGCACCTTTAAAAAGCGTTCATCGCTGGAATCAGAAAATTATTTTGAGATTAATTTGTATATAAACCGAGGGGATGGATCCGTAATAATAATTCGAATCTTGCTTCAATACTACTAATACTTCAATATTCTGTAAAAAATATTAAGTATACAGATGGCATATACACCCGTTCAAGGACATTTCCTACTTGCCCAGAGCCGCGTGAAGAGCGAAACGCTCATTACCTAAAATACATAACCCCGTAGGATGGTTTCGTAATGAAAATGCGAATCTTATTTTCAATATTTATGTGAATTTAACTAGCAAAACGGCACGTTCCATAAACACTCTCGTCTAAGTGTTGTGTATTGACGTACTTATCCTCGATTATTACATTATAAAGCGTCTCAACGCTAGCATTGTTGCCGAATAAAACACAAACAATACAATCTTGTTTTTCTTTATGAATACACAATGGTTACCATCGTATGTACCGCCCTCTTTGGTTACAAACACGAGCTGGTCGCAAAACTTCAGTTCGATTCATAGGAAAGGGTCTGTGTATGAGATCGTTCGCAAAATATGGAAGATTTGATAAAATACGCGACTTTGAAAGTATAGGCAGTAAGAAAAACTATTCATTGAATACTCTGATAGCCTTTTTATCTTGAAAAACTTGGTTCCAAGTCAACTTCTGGGATCGTTGTATGAGATACTTCGCAAAACGCGAAAGAATTGACATTATGCGACTTTCAAGTATGCAGGCCCTGATAGTGTTTATTATCATTAATTCGATGAGCGTTTTTGATATTTAATTTACCCGTATTAATAATGCCAACCAGGTTGATGATCTCAGGTCTTATTGTCTGATGTTTTGGCATGGGTTATTCCGCGATTAAGAAAACATATGTGGCAGGTTGCAAGTCTTTGATAAGAATACGAAAAAAAAAAAAATAAAAATAAAAAATATAGGAAAATAGGAAAAAAATCGCTGACCCAACCTTGAAAATATTTTCTTATAGATCGCCTGCTATGGAGCAACGATTGACAATATCGAGGTCAGGCACTTCATATTTATTGGATTAGGAATCGCGCAAATTACACATTCATGTACTTAGAGTAAACATTGTAAGGTGTGACTGACGCTTTTAGACCCTTCATTGTCGTGACAATGCAAATAAATAAGTATGAGTTGAGGCATCGAACTTTAAGGTGAAAGGTTTAATAGTTGAGCTGCAATAAAATACTTGCCGTGAAATTAAATGAATTTAGAGCAGTGAGTCTCAAAGGGTTGGGCGCGCCCCACAACGGGGTGTAGACAATTTTATGAAGGGCGTGGAGCTAAATGAAAATATTTGTTACATTTGATCTTGCCCGCCTTATTTGACTTTAAAACTTTTCATTTATTCCAATATTTACGTCCCATCCACGTATTTTTAACGTTTTTTTTTCAAATAAAGCATACTTTGCCTTACTATCTGTTATCTGTAGCTTATTATTAGCTAGTTATTTTAGAGGTGGGGCGCAAAACTTGACAAATTCCAAGAAGGGGGCGCGATTTAGAGTAATGCTAGATGCCGGTTTAATCTGGATAAAACTGTGAGTCCAAATACATTTCAAGAGAATGTGCTCAGAGTAAGGTCTCACTCACACACACTAAAGTGAAGGATGCCCATCTCTGAGTAATGTTACGGGCGATTTAGCAGATCAGTTGTGGGTGGTTAAATTTATAGTTGAGTTGCGAACGAGTTACATTTGAGATGTTTGCAAAAATTACCATGTAACTATGATAACAAAACACGGAACGAGTGCAGCATCATTTAAAGTATATTGTTGCGATCGTTTATAGGCGGAATTCAATGCAGCCCGCACGCTACCGGAAATGCGTAGATTTATCTTTTCCGGAAATATATAAAGTTGGCCTACATCTGATCTAATTCAATAGTTACCAAAGTGTTGTCCCTTAGGCATACGTTAAGCTCTTCCATGAGATTCCTGCATGAAATTTAGTACGATGCTCATAGCTCGATAATTTTTTCAGTGTTAGTTTTCTTTATACAAACTCTGCTTGCGTTTGCAGGATTGCAAATTGAGTAATACATACTTTACTCGATAAGAGCAATTTTATAGTACAAATATTATTACCAAATCATTACTTGTTAATTGGGTATTCATTTTAAGTCGACTAATGATCTCATATGAAAATCTATGAGAATAAAATCTCCATTGACGTTGCACAAAGATAAAAAAAAAGTCAGAAATATCTATCCAACAGTATCTTAGTTTTATATTTGCGTATATTTTCCTGTGTCTATCGAACTGTATAGACTTTATTGAGACAGCTAATACATATAAATCTATATACATGTTAAGCTGTACACTATTGCTATATTAGTAAAGCTGTTTATAATTACTTTCAACCCTCACATGAGTGTCATGAGATTGACGTGAATCGCATTGAACCGTGATTATAGAATGACGACGAGAAAGCTTGAACTCAGGTTCGTTTTCAAAATAATTTTCAGAACTGATTTGTTGAATCAATATTTGTGGAGGCGATGGCGTAGTGCTAAGAGCTTTTGGAATGATATTGTTGGCGTCGTGGGTAAAATACATAAGATCAAGCTCATGCACATTATCTCACCCATCCAGGTATAATATTTGGTAGACAATGGGGAATCGATAGTATTAGATATGGTGACCGTTTACCGTTTTTGTTGGTATTGCACACAACTGAGCAAAGTTATATCCTTTTACGGGGAGATGTAATACTTAGCTCTAAACAAGGTTCTTCTGTTTATTACCTGGGGTTATAAAATGCTAGGAATATTCCCATCCCGGACAGCTTATCCAATTTTGTTACAGCCTTTGTGGGGTGATTGAGGGTCACCACAATAAGAATATGTGTTACAATATTAAAAAATTACGATGTAGTTTACCGAAAACGAGTTAATCATCGCATGTAAGTCGTAGTGCTGAGGCAGAGTAGAAAATAACAAAAATGCAACTTCACTACTTTTTGCTTGAAATTACATATCATATAGCACTTGTAGATTTGTCTGTAACATCTGTTTTATTGCCTTACGAGATACGGTTGAAACACAATGTATCAAAAACCGTGTTCGGAATCTCAGCGACGCATATTTATGTCCAAATACTATGGCCTATGTAATAAGATACCGGTATATGATATATGCTACTATGGCGAGAAACAGGGTACATTGTTTAAATGTGTCTTTTTAATATAAGACTGATAGCACTGATGATGTATTGAATATCCATATGTTGGGTTATGCTGGGTAGATACATCAATACGTGCATATTAAAAGTGGTGAATATGGCAAGCTAAAATCTAATATCTCGTTAGGAATATAAGGTGTAGAAAGTCACACCCTAAGAGTATCTCGACCCATTTAAAATCGCGAGAAGTCGGAAACTACCACAAAATACTCAGTGAAAAATGAACTACGAAAAAATTTTAATGTTGAATATTGATTCAAATAAAAATTATTCTTATCATATTTAGCACCACTAAGAATATTTGTTATAATATTAATTAATTACCATCTAGTTCAACGATTGCCCAAAATCTTTACAACAATGATTGAAATATATACAAAGTCGCGCAGATCCCAATTTTAATACAAATTTTTTTGCAAAAACAAACCCGAATTTTTTTATTATTTAGAATCGACTTGGGAGATTCTCTTCCACAATCTCCGTCGCCACCAGTTTGGAAGAATCCGAGAAAATCTGGGGATATCGTCTTCCGAGTAGGAAGCAACAGAGGAAGAACTTCGAGAGCGGAATCGTCAGTCAAGTAAATACTCCTTTTATGCTATTTATTCCGGTACGTATCTGTGGGCTATTACTAATAGATGAATCAGGTTGAACCTCAAGGACAGTAATGACTAGATTTTTTTCGTGTATTGGGTTTATTTAAGATTATAACTACTGTATATTGAATTCCAGAATTCCAGACTAAATTATATTATAATTTAACAACTACGTAATTCACAATTACTCGCTTGATGAGTCTATAATTTAATTATAATTACAAAAGGCAACAAAACACAGAAAAGTTGATGCTAAGTGCAAAGGATTCAATGGCGCCTAAAATATTCAAACTGAATTTTTTGTGATACAATGCAGTGAGGAAATAAATCTATATTATATTCGGGAGATGTATCACTGCTTGATTTTCATTAGTATCATCCGTTCGGTTTTCAACTTTCTAAAAAATAAGTGCGGCCCGCAAATGACTTGCAACCCTTATTTTTGGACCGCGAGCGACAAAAAGGTTGCCGACCTCTGCTTCACACTATATGTATACTGGCAGACACTTCCAAATTATATTTTATGAGATAGCATGTGGGGCTTCGTAAAATAAAACATTTGAACATTTCAATTTTTTTTTATAAGCGACGATGATTAATAGACTAGCAATTGCGTCACAAACATAAAAAATTATTTTCATCCTCTTATAAGTGTCACGACTTAAACATGCATTTGCCCTCGATACATCTTAGAAAATTCGAAAGTGTTTCCCCAAAATACTTATTTTTAAATGCAAATTCTGTATATATCCCTATTTTTATTATTTATTTATCGTCTTCATACTGATTATGGAGTTATAAAATATACTTCTTAGATTAAAAAAAATTCTGGGTATCGTAAAAATATCCTTCGAGCCGGATTCGAACCAGCGACCTATGGATAACCGAGCAACCACCTCTACAGTCCACCGCTCTACCAACTGAGCTATCGAAGGAAGACGAGTGTTTGTATTGTAACAGGATACCATAATACTCGACTGTCACGACTTTGACGAATTAATTCGTCACGCTAGACAAACAAACTCACGTCGATCGATAATTATGATATTTACAGGTGCCGGAATTATACAATTAAGTTGCTGAAATGACAGCGTTGGAACATTTTTGAATTACTTTATTACATTTTAAAGTCGATTCTGTCTCTGTGACCCCAGAAGCAAATATTAAATATATATAGGGTGTCCATTTATCGATAGTCGATACCATATATTGTTTTGGCCTTCACAGATGATTTAAATAAAGTAAAAGTACTTAAACAATTACTGATTAAAAAACAACAAACCTGGTTAAGATATATTGAGAACTGACCTCATAACCAAATTGAAATTGTAAAGAACTATATGGAAACCCTGTATATCCTAATCACTTCTACTTGTTTTCAGAACCGGCCACAGAAGCCCGTATAATTCCGTTCTTGGTCCAGCTGGGAGCATAATATCTGGTGCGAGTGTCGTTAACGTCGACGGAAAAGCAAACCTTAAAAGAGATGGAGTGCCCAAGATAAGCAAACTTCTTCGATCACGAGAGGTCAAGAAACCAGAAGTGACCCCGTCACCTGAACCGGAAGTAACTATACAACCTGAACCGGAACTAATTTCACCCCGTGAACCGGAAGTTAAACCGAAAGCTGTTATTACAGTTCAACGAACAGACTTGTTAACACCCGCTACAACAACACGAGATAACGAAATAGAAAAACGAGTGATCTTTACCCCCGCTAATACAGCTGTGACACTTATAACCCCACTTCGGGGTAACATAGACAGCCCCCTAAAGCCTTACAAGCGCCAAAACGCGACAGCAATTCCAAAGCCTAGACCAAAACTACGACAAGTACACAAACTACCATCTACAGCACCTATCATGGGAAAGCGGTAAGTTTTTGAGTACTTGCGTAGTGTGTGTACCAGGTTAGAGTTAGGCCATAATTTTATCCTGATTTTCCTTTTAACTCTATTACGAGTTCAGGGACTGTCTTTGTTAGCCAAGTGAATATACCCCCTGCCCATAGACTTCCGTCCCTTTACACAGCTTGGTGTAAAGTATGCAAACAAAATTAGTTACCCTGATATTGGTACACACACTTCTGGAACGTAAATATTTGCATAGAGATTTTAAACAATTCCGCTTTGAACAAGTATCTAACCAAGCCGTCGCTGACACGAGAGAAGGTAATTCAAAAATCCATTGCCTATTTAATGCTGCTCTGACAAGCATGGGTTGGATATGTTCTCGAGATCGTAAATCTCCGACGTCGTGACAATAGAAATAACTTGTTCAAATTAGAAAAAGCAATTTCAATTTATCACATTCCGAGATAGCTGTCGGTCTAAAGTTGAAATGATCATGCTATGCCTGAATTATTTCTGATACATATTGGTTGTCCATAAAGTCTTAATTTTTTCTCTATTGCAAAGGGAATCTATCGATGCAATATATTGTTTTGGCCCTCACAGATGTATTGAATTAAGTAGAAATACTTGAACAATTACTGATTAAAAATAACAAATCTGGTCAAGATATATTGCGAACTGACTACATAATAAAATTTAAATTGAAAAGGAACTTTATGGACACCCTATATATCCATCTTAGGTCGGCATAGATTTATATAATGACATACTGATAAAATATCAAATTTATTGCAGTTCACAGAATTTATTGAAGGTGTTTATTTTAAGACTTCAATTGTTTAGAATGATTATTTTTTCGAATTGCACTGTTGTAAATTATTTCTCCATTTAAGAATCTATATCAAATATCGGGAATATTTAATTTATGATCTATAAAGTCCCTTTGCAATTTTAATTTTGTTATGAAGTCAGTTCTGAATATATCTTCACCAGGTTTGTTGTTTTTTAATCAGTAATTGTTCAAAATATTTTTACTTCATTTAATATATCTAATTTAGTATGTGGTATTGATAAATTTCCTTTGCCATTATAAAAAATGTTTAGAAGACTTTTTGGACACCCTATACATAATTTTCAGAGAAAAGCACGGAACAAAGAAAGTCAGAATCAAGGATAAACAAGCGGATAATCACGATGCAGAAGATAAAACGAGAGGATCACCAACAGGAATGGCCGCACTTAGGGAATTACTTGATGCCATCGGAAAGGAAACGACAAATCTAACTTTCAAACAAATGTTAGAGGTATAGTTCTACCGTGATTATGTCTCAAAAAATATGAGGTTCGGTTTAATGTGTGGCCAAATGGTTAGATAGTTTGAGTGAGTGAACAATATTTACGTCGCGGTTTCAAACTGAATGTCCAGAGAGTAGCAAATTGAGTATGTAATGCTAAAAGTAAAGATTTCGCTACTTCCAGAAGCGGTTTTTTGATACACGCCAGTAGCTGCTCATGGAGGGTTTTCTTGTTTGGAGTGAAAGATGTGAAAAAGTCTCGTGTAAAAACAACTTGTATTGCCGTGCGCATACTTATTCTGATAGGCGTGTGACGGAGTGACTAACAAACCATCCCACATACAGAATGTGATAAATTCTGTAGGAAAGGTCAAACGGGCAAGATTCCAGTGTTTTCGAAAAATGAGCTCGCTTTTTGGAATGAGTGTGCATATATAAATATCATTTAAGCACAAGCAATTGTACAGTCGTTGAGGCGTGATCATTTACATGGTGACCCTGTATATACTTTTCAATAATTGGAAACGGTCCACACAGTGCTTAATAAATGAGTGTTTTGACTGTATATTTTTGTTGTTAAATCCAAATAATGCCTAGCTTTACTAAAACAGGTCAAAGTAGCAATTGGAATGGCTTCTCATGTTGCCAGAGAAGTAATTGAGGATCTCAGTTCATTACAAAGCATATTAGAAGAATTGTCAATGCTGTGGAAAATTAATAGAATGGATTTAGACTTATTGGAACATTTACTGCAGAATATTGGACTCCTAGAAAAGTAAGTGTCACATATGGGATTTTTTTTCTGGAGCGGGTTATTTGAATATTGCTGACGTCATAATGATGACGTCATTGGAAAAAATTCTTAGTAATCGTCTGTTAGGTCGATGCGTGGCGGGAGTTTATTTCGTGCCATGATGAGATAGTTGAGTGGTTACCTCACTTAGAGCAATGGTTCTCAATATGTGGTACGCGAGCATCTTTGAATCATTGGAACACTTAACATTTGAGTTGGCTGAAATATGCCGGCAACGCTTTATCTTCTATATATACTGTATGTATTCGCTGAGCAGCGTTTATGGATTTTCCCAGAGATCAGTTTTCTTGTTTATTTCTGTAACCCTAATTAATCAGCAATAAGTCAACAATGACGTAACAATTGCAATTTCTGCAGCCGCTCCGACGCTTTTGTCGCTCAGATAGATATACAAGCATGGTTGTACAAGTTGGCAAGTTGCCTCGTTTTTTTTTTTGTAGTTTTGTGTAATATTTGTCAGTTTTTAGTTGTGTTTCAAGAAAATAATTGTGAATTAATTAATTTAATTGTTATTATGTCTTCCGGGAAGCTTTAACTTAGTTGCAGAAGATTAGCTCAATCGAAAATTAGTCTCGCAAATACTGCGATAGAATAGGCTTAATCAACGAGAATATATTACTCTCATTGGCTAAACTTAGCTATCGTTACCTGCAAGCGATACGCGGTTGATTAATTAATTGATTAATGTTTTGTGCACGTAAACCAGGGCACGTTTTCGCCTGTTTTGCGTGTTACTCTCCGGAAGATGTATTTCCCCATTATAAAAGACTCCCATAGCACATTTATTGTGCTATTTTCCTCACGCCGAAAAGGGGCTTTGTCGGTGGTACCGGTACGCGACCAGAGTAAAAAACAGTAAAGTGGTACGCGGCCAGGAAAAGGTTGAGAACTACTGACTTAGGGTAATAAAATTCTATATCTGAATGATACTATTCGTGCCATAATAGTTCATTTTGTGGCCACTTGTTCAGAGCATTTACGGAGCGAAAACGCAAAACACAAAAAATAAAAAACTGGACTAAATTTTAGAATAGCCATCATCTTTAAAAGGCCTTTCATTGCATTTAGTTTTAAAACAACAGGTGTATGTTCTCAAAGTTTGTATATGGGAAAGCAAATTCAATATTTTGGAGTCAGGATGTGTAAGATACTTCTAACCCATTACGCTCCAAGTCTCCCATTGCTGCCAGTTAGCCCCAGCCAAAAACAAATCAAGTTATATAAATGGGTGCCGCTGCTCGATAACAAATCTGGTTTCCCGCGGGTCGCCTCACCCTGAAATGCTTTAATATAATGTATTGTAATTTGTATATTTTGTGTGATTTCAGTATGGTGAAAAATAAACTACTGACTGCTTGTATATATAAGGTGATGTGGAAATCAGTGTTTTAAATTACATTCTATGATTCTCTCCTTAGGTTTGCGTCAGAGATTGCCAAGTACAAAACTACCGTTAACTATGACGTCATGCCAGCGTCATCAGAACGTGACGTCACAACGATTATTGCCACACTACACAATCTTTTACAAGGTACGTATAAATCAATATCGTACGAATTAACACACAGAAATATAATTCACACAGCGATCTTTCAGCTGTATGGCGGAATAACCTTGAAAATAGCTTGGTCTACGCGCGGCACCAGACGAAGGTCGCGCGGAAGTTAAATTTCAAAAGAATATAGAAACCATCAGAAATTGGCCTGATGGCACAGAATTAAGCCTATTGCCCACATAATACAAGCAGTATTCTTGCCTGTTTAGGAATTTCGAGGAGAAGCCTTCGTAACGTCTGATTTAAACAGTGTATTTCAGGGGTGTGCAACATTTTTGTCCGTCGGCCATATATCCAACTTCAGACATCTAACTGGGCCACACACAAACTTTAACGGAAAAGCTGATAGAAGAAACTGCGGCTATCGTTTACTTTTACAATAATAGGGGGACTGGGCAAAATGGCGAATTTAACGAAGCGACAAAAATCATTATTTGTTTTTACCTATGTGAGCGCCATTTTAAACATAAACTGTCGGATTAGGATTTGATGCTCGATAGGGAAAAATTCTGAGTGTTGACAAGGGCCACATTAAATGGCTTGACGGGCGGGGTGTGGCCCACGGGCCGACTGTTGCACACCCCTGGTGTATTTCAATGCTTTGAGTACCCCATGTACAATGCACTTCAGTTACGCGTATACTGCTTTTACATGATGAAAGTCGTATGCACGGTTAGCAGATTTGAAGCGGAGTGCTTGTAGATAAATTGAATGTTATGATATGTTCTGGGTTAAAAGAGATATAAAACTCAAAAATAGTGGTTCGCGTATTATGTTTCCTACTAAATAACACGGTTCCATTACATTTGAACCCACGTACATTTGAACCCATGACAATTGCACCTGTATGCTATTGCACCTATGGATTTTTTTTTGTTTCACGGATAGTTAAACCCATACTAACCCTAACCCATGGGCTTTAGCACCCGCATATAGATTGAACCCGTGGATATACGCATGGGTTCAAATGTACATGGGTTCAAATGTACGGTCACCAAATAACACAGTCATATAAAACTCTAAACCGAGTTCTCTCATCCAGTCATTCGAATATCACATAGAAAAGAATTTGAGTAGCAGTATTACTCTAAAGTTTCGACTTTTGTATGCTAAACATTTCACTTCACTGTTTTAATGTTTTATCAGGGCCACCAACATATTCAGAAAATTTTGGAGAATTGTCGGTTCATAAAAGACTATTTTCCATATGTTTACAGGTTCTGAAGAAGCTACAGGTACGTATACAACCATGAGTTTTTCCCATTATGGAGATGTTTACAGTTTTGGAAGAGCGAGACTAGCTTGCGTGAAAGAAGACTTAGCAAGATTGCTGGCTATTCATCCAACACAGGTAGGATAATTTTTAATAAATAAAGCTCTTCGAACAAATTCAATTTCTCCCCGATGTAAATAGGCTGAATAGTCTATGTCAGGGTGGTCAAAACCCTGGCACACGGGCCGCATGCTGCCCGCAAACACATTCCATGCGACCCGCAGAACCATTTCTCCCAATGCGGCCCGCGAGACCTCCTCGAAATTTTTTGCGGCCTTTCAATCTCGCAACCTTGGACCACCCTGGTCTATGTGCTATTAAATTTTTACCGATATTTCAACGGTGGCTTTTATTTTAAGATTACATATCTCGCAAAAGTATCGGCAAATAATGATGGTTACGTCACAGTGATGCAAATGCCCTGCATCGTATCAAAGAAGATTGTGAATAGCGCTCGACGAAACCATCCCGTACTAATGTCACTTGGCCTCAAGGGTGTACAAATAACAGGTAATGAGTGCAAATGCTAAGAACTGAGCCTATGTCTGAGAGGGAGAATTTCCGACCCGGTATGATACTATCTAGTTTTTTATAATCGACTGGGGTTGAAGACAACTGACTGGCCAGGACTGAATTCAATTATAATTCTTTTTTTTGTATGTATGATCAGGCAGCCGTTTAGACATGGCGGGTTACTGTATGACAGGGGTCGGCAACCTAGGACCCGCGGGATCCATGGTGGAATGGGGGGGGGGGGGGATTAACTTATTAGAACGGGAATCCAATATTTGTGAGCAAATGCAAATGCGAGAGCTGTAATTTAACTTAGGCAAACGCGTCCATTTCTATATTGGGATTTTAATTCTAAAACAAAAAAATACGGAGTCCGGTCTACATTTACACAATGTTACCTTATCCTAAGATACAGTCGGTAAAACGACTTTTGATATGTTCCTTTTTTTGCTCGGAAACGCTATATTGACATGTACTAAGACTTTTCAGATCATAATGAATTCGCTTACACCTAATGTATTTTCAGGGTCTGACGGACTCAAATATACACAAAGCATGGGATACTTGCAGGATAAAGTACCCGCCGAAACACAAACAGGAGAAGCAGAGTTGCGAGAAGCTGCCACTAGAAGTGCTAGAACAGCACCTGCGGGCCCAACCCTCCCCCCACTTACAAGAAAACAAAAATCACAAAGAAGATTACCACACACGTCTATGGCGCAACACAGTAAGTTGAAATTTTAGAGACAATAAGTCTATTTTATGGATCCGTGTAAAATTTCAATTTATGATCCGGCCTCGTTCCAATAATTTATTGTCCAGAATAGAATTATGCAAAGACGGCCTGCGGAACGAATTGCCCGGGGCCCGGTCCGAAAAAGGACAAGGCCGATTGCCACGGCTTATGTAGATGGCCCTGCAATTATGGTACCGCATGGCCGTAGCCAGGGTCGAAATTTCTCCTCCCTTTTAAACTGTAAATCAAAAGAAAGAGCATTTTTCTGTATCAAACATAACAATTTTCGTAGCTCCAAACGCTTTTTAGACCTTCAAGACTCTTAAACACCCCGTATGGACCAGACCAGCTAACTTGGCTAAGTTAGAAATTTCAAAAACCCCCCCTTTGAAAATACCTGGCTACGCTCCTGTGCTGCCGCGTCAGTTAAATACTAATTGATGCGAGACTTAACGCAAATACAATTTGTCAATACAATCAGAAGAACATGAATATTAAAATCTACATAACTGAAAAGATCGTAGAAGGAGACCCGCACAATTTTCTTCGTCCGGATCACACATTGAGTCATTAATATCGATGCAATGTCGATGCCAATCGAATTGTCTTTTATTCATTGCACTAATAGATCGTCTGATAATATCCTACTTATCTCACATTACAGCGGAAATAATATCAACACCAATTATACAGCGACGAAATCCGAGTCAGTCCAAACACCTTGAAAAGGAAATTATTACAGAGGAAGACGAAGAACATGTGTTTCCTCGAGGTTGGTTTTATGGAATATATTTGAATATGACAAAGTTACACACAGAGAGACAATTGTCAGGCTTGAATTTTTAAAGTCAAAACTCGGTACTCCGGAAGTATGTCAACCAAGATGGTGGACACCGGAACGTAGTATGTGTACCAGGTTAGGGTTAGGCCCTAATTATATTCTAATTTCCCCTATTTTGGTTTTATTACGAGTTCAAAGACTAGCCAAATGACTCCCGTAGTATATGTACCTGAAATTATGGCCTAACCCTAACCCTGGTACACATACTACATTCCGGTGTCCGCCATCTTGGTTCACATACTTCATGAGTACCCCAAACTCAAATAATCTAGTGTATTTTTCCGTGAGCCGTTTTACATCTTTACTCAGAACAACCCTTTTCAGGCACTGCCGTATAGCTTTCTACTCAATCTTTTTGTAAAAACAGAAGTCTTTCCAGCCTGGAATCGCCTAATCCCCTACTCGAGACACGAATAACCCATGACTCAAATTGAGGCTTGAGTAATTGAGCTCAAAACTTTAAAATCCAACTATTTTTTTTGCGAGACGTTCCACAACTTTACCACGAACAAGTCTTTTTAAAGCACTGCCTTACAACTCACGACTCAATCTTTTTGTAAAGACAGAAATCTGTCCAGTGTACTTGATAAATCAGCAAAATAATACCATTTAAATGAGTATTATTTCAAACAGGGTAGTCAGAGTAGTTTACCAGTTTTAAAATAAATTAGTTAATTAATATTAAATTTGAACCTGTTCTTGGTTTCCCTTGTATATGAAGCGTATACGGGTTTGTGTAAAGTAAACCGTAATAGAACCGATTTATATACTCAAATTGCTTAGTAATATATTCTATAATTTCTTAAGAATTAAATTTCTTAAGAATTAAATTACAGAATCAAATTTATATGGGTGAGAAAGGATGAAAAATAGCATCTCAGTGGCTAAAAATTGACTATCTGTGGCAAGAATAATGTAACGTTACGTCATGTAGATAGTTTGAAACAAATGCAGGTACTCCCGTAGTGTATGTACCAGGATAAGGTTAGGACATATTTTCATTCCGATTTTCTTTATTTTATTTCTATTACGAATTCGGGAACTGTCTGTGTTGGCCAGGTGAATATACCCCCTGCCCATAGGCTTCAGTCCCTTTACACAACTTGATGTAAAGAAGGCAAACAAATTTAGAAAACTTCTGGAGCGCCCAAATGCAAATTTTTATATTTTTGTCGACGGTTTATGTGATTTTTTTTAAACAAATCGGAAACTGCGAAATGGTTACTTAACGTTAGATTTCAGCTTGTTCAATATCTAAATAAATTTACAGTTGATTTCGGCGAATACAAGAGAGAAGATCCGTCACTTCTCCCTCAGATCGACCCGAATGAAGCGAAGTTTGAACGCAGAGTCCGACTAGCCCGAGATACTTTGACGAAACTGACTAAACCGGAAAATGAAGAACTTGTAACTGTGCTATTGGACCAGGTAACTTGGTAATTTCTTAGTGAAGACTATTGATTTCCAATCACATTGAAATAGTATCAGTTTTGTTTTAATCGAATCAAGGAATCGGGATATCTGGTCACCAGTGGTGTTTTAATTATTCTATCTGTTTCCTCTCCCTTTTAGACGGATATTATGCATGTACACTTCAAACATATTTATGGGGTGTTTTCGCTCCTTCGTGCAGGGTAAATCTTTTAATTGCGTGGAAAACTAATAGATCAATGAAAAAAGCTTTATTACGCCTTGAATTTGACAACCTTAGCGTGCTGCGAAAACATGGTTAGACTTAAAGTAATTAAGTGAATTGAAAATAAGAAAATTCTATGCTTTATCAGATCCAAAAGCTACATAGAATGATATCAGCCTTGAAGAAGGATCTTCGTGAAAAGACTCGAGATTTAAACGCAAGTCAGAGTTACGTTCAGAAGGCGCAGAAAGAAATCAAATCCATGGAAATGAGAGTCGAAACCAAAGCACAGCAAATTAGTCAAACAAACGAACATTTATTAAAGGTGGGTAATTTGTTATACCAATTTTGAGAATGGAATTCAAAAAGACAACTAAATGTTATCTATGCTATATACAATTCATATCAACCCATATAAACTCAAATCCGTTTTCATAGTTATCTCAATATCAACATGAGTAGAAATGAATGAATAATGAAGGTATAGTTAATCCTCGCAACAATGTAACAACGTTTTCTCTGATAAATGTTTTGAAACGCCTACTTTTATTTTTGAACAAGTTTTCTTCAAGCAGGGCAAGTGCGGCATGTGGGAGTTGAATATGATGTTTACCCAAATCGATGTTAAACTAATGCTTTAACTTTATAGCAGGGGTGTGCAAATTGCGGCCCGCGGGCCAAATGCGGCCCGCAAGAAGAAGTTGTGCGGCCCGCGGAGAAATAACAATTTCGAATGGTGTACCCGCAAAACGAGTATTTATTCTTTTTCGTCGCAAAGCCCATACCAGTCATATTAGCAAAACAAGCTAGCAAAATTATGTTGCAAAATACACGATTTATATTACAAAAACGTGTTTCTCACTGCATTCGTTTGAAGTCGGTGTGACAAAAAATTTAAATAGCAGTTTCTTCAGAAGTTTATGCGTTTTAAATCTACTATTTCTGCAAGAACCCCTAATAATGCCGTAAGATCAATAGCAAATATAGGCAATTTTTTTGCTTGCAACTACCAGAAAGCCTAAATTGAATAAAGGTGCGGCCCGCGGCTTCACCCAGTTACTTGTATTTGGCCCGCCAATAAAAAAGGTTGCACACCCCTGCTTTATAGGATAAGTTAAATCTAATTTCAAATTTGATCGAATAAATTGGCTTCCTGAATCACTTTTTGAATTCCAATTCACAATATGACGTCATTGAATTTTTTTTAAAGCGAGTAAAGAAGCAGATGAGAGAAAATGCCCATTTGAGGGAACTACTGGAAGGGAAAGACGCAGAGATCGAAATGCACAGACAATCTGACAAAGAAAATAGACTGGCAGGAATGATCAAAATTGCTCGAGTTAGCAAAATACAGACACTTCCACATCCAATATCATTTGCATGATTTTAAATTTGGGGAACACGACATTTATCCGCGTGCAAATGAATGGAAGTGATATACATTTATGGTTCGAAACTATCTATAATTACCAACCGGACAAAAATTACGGAACATTGCATTTTTGATCTTAACTTGAAACTATTTATTTAAACTCGCCGCATTCAATCCATTAGCGTAAAATTTTTTATATTTGGAAGATGGAATTTGTCCATGTTTGAACATATTAAAGTTATACATTGAGGCCTTCGCAACTCATTTTTCCACAACTTCAGGACAGTTAATCTTCTCAAAGCCGTAATACACATAGAAAAGTACTTAGCACTCTTTTTGAGGTACTTGTTAATGTTAATAATCACTAAGCAACTTCATATCAATAGGTGTATCAAATTAGAGTTTTGAGAATTCTCTCTGAATACACATAATAGCAAAGGTCTAAAATTCGATATTTCATATCGAGTCACAAAATGCATAAAAGTTAACGAAGGCAATAATTGATGGCAGTTATGCCGTTACTGTCATCTAGTCATTTTTTTTTAATTTCCTATCCAATTTGATATTTTGTGCCATTTGAGATAGAAGGAAACTATACATGGACACGAAGACCAAAACGAAATATTTTACCATAAATTCCCTAAAATTATATATACGGTAACTTACCAGAACCTGTACCGGGGTACCTGGAAACGGTACCCGGACTGTCCCAGCTTTTTTAGTTATAGCCCGCATGTCCGCTACAGAGGCGGGGGAATCCCTATTTCTAGTATTCATATTTTGCATTATATACGATTTTTGCATTGTTTTTGTCAGTATAAATGCGTGTTCAGGTATTTGCACTTACAAGTTCACTTTTACATAGTGTTCTTTTTTATATCTGCGTTGAAGTCGAATATAATTTTATAACTTATTCGCAACAGGTCTTTTTTTGTGCATATTTGGTACTCTCGAAGTATGTGAACCAAGATGGCGGACACCTAAACGTAGTATGTGTACCAGGTTAGGGTTAGGCTATGATTTTGTTCCAATTTTCCCTATTTTAGTTCTATCACGAGTTCGGGGACTAGTCAATTGACTTTCATAGTATTTGTACTTGAAATTATGGCCTAACCCTAACCTGGTACACATACTACGTTCCGGTGTCCGCCAACTTTGTTCACATACTTCTGATTTACTCTAAGAGAGTTCAATGCCGATAATACGACTAAATTAATTACTGGGTAAATTGAGTAAAGGTTGTTGTCTTGAGAAACAGGATTATTCGAAGTAAATATGAGACTGTATCGAAAATTCGCAGCCCGAGTTTAATTACTGGATTACATCGCCCATCGGTATCAGCTATTAGGTTGTTGAGAGGTGATTATTCCGTATTCCCGTCGTGTGTGTGTGACGGGTTAGGGTTAGACCATAATTTTATTCCGATTTTCGTTCTATTACGAGTTCTGGAACTGTTTGTGTTAGCCAAGTGAATATACCCCCTGCCCATAGGTATTGGTACACACACTTCTGGATTGTATTGTAGGTAGTAATTAAGGTCCAGTTTATCGACAACATCCGCCGTCATGATATTTGGTTTGTAAACGTTTATAGCTTGTTTGTCGTGTTTAGTTTGAATTGGACCATATTGGAATCCTGTTATTTTATCCAAATCAACTTTGCGACACAAGAGCGCCAACTAGCGATATCAAGTTCAGAAACCACCAGAATGAAATTAAGTATAAGCACTGGCATTATTGGTAAAATCAGGTGTTTGTTTGTACAAAGACTTTGTAAAAAACATCCCCACCAACGCTTAAAACAAGAAAATTAGTAGTTATTCTGTAGGGTTCGGGGATGGGAATGCAGATTGCGCTGGAAATTTAAGTTTTTGAATCATTCCTCGCCCTTACCCTAACGCAGGGGTTCCCAAACCGCGGCCCGCGGGCCAACTCCAGCCCGCGTAACGATTTAAAATGGCCCGCCGAGCTTGAGTGGAACAATGAAATAGATTTTGTTCCTACCTTTTTACAATCTAGAAACCGCCAATTGTTATGTCATTATCACAGTTTAAGCTTGTGTTCATGGTAACAATTCGATTATGCCGGTATCTCAATTATACGTACCGTATTAGGATTACATAGGGCAGTAATTTAGTTATCAGCCGTATAAGAAAGGTTAGAGATGTCAAATAATATACAAGACTCTGAAAACAGATGTTACTCCGATAAATGGCATCGTTCTTATTTCTGTATTGAAAAGAATCACACTTCAGCGATTTGTCCACTTTGCCAACGAACTATTCAAGTTATAAAACAATACGACATAAAGCGCCATTATGAATCAAACAAACATGTTTAAAAAAATGTCAAATGCGAATCCACAGAACCCCAGCTAAACCGTTGCACACTTTCGGGCACTACACTCTTCCGGCCCGCGAACACCCTTTCGATTCTAATTTTGGCCCGCGGCCAATGAAGTTTGGGAACCCCTGCCCTAACGTAACTGAATAATTACTAATTTGTTATTTTAAAACGTGACGGGGGTGTTTTTCTCAAATAATTTTTGCATCAGTGGCGGGGGCTTTGTACACAAGATCCATTGCATTTTCATACTTTCAATGGCGATAATAGAAGTTACAATTCTCCTACGAAGCTCGGATTCGAAATTCTTTACAACCAGGAGTCGGGATCGATTTCGAATTTTGCCCGAGGCAAAATACTCTTAACCCTTGGGGGGGGGGGGGGGGTGCAACCCGACCCGCTAGGCCATTTAGTGTGGCCCTTGTCAACTCTCAGATTTTTCTCCATCAGACATAAAATCCTAATCCGCCAGTTTATGTTTAAAAGGCACTCACATGGGTAGGAATACATAATGATTTTTTTACTCTTGTCTTACATTGTGGTATTTTTTAAAAATTCGATGTATATATGAAAAAAACTGAATTTTTTGTGTGGCCCAGATGTCTGAAGCTTGTTATGGGGCCTACCGACAAATGCTGCATATCCCCGCTTTACAGTAACATACCTGATAATGAAATGATGCCTAGAAAAATTATTGAACTGCTTGACGGCGGCCCAGCATCTTTTAACGATATTTCCATTCATACACACTAATTTAACCTCTATATTCGTACGCCATAATTATATAGTCCACCACAGAAGGATTGTATTATCGTAATAAAGATTTGAAAATAATAGATCCAATAAACAGATCAAAGCGGTCTAATCTACCTTAAAACAATTCGAGCATAATATGCAGAATCAGAACTTCTATATCTAGATGAGAATATGCTGCCCAACACGCATCATCGAATTCAAGTGGACTAGACTAATAATAATAATAATACTCACATGCCTGATGTCTTTGTAATCGAGTAAAATTACCGGACAAAACATAAAAATGATGCAGAAAAGTACCTAGCAATCTAACCAACCGTGCAAACTAACAAAACTGCATTTTAGATAACAAAAATAAAATACAAACGGTACAATAAAAGAATAAATATCACAAATTGCACAAAGATACACAAGTAAAATAAGTTATGAGCGCCAAGCGTGTAATAAGTTCATATATCAGAGAAATGACCTCTTGCTCTTTAGTCCCCTTTTCTATAAGTTATCATCCGAATGCTTCACGCCACCAGGAAAAATTGAAGACTGTACTGTCTGAATAATCTAATAAACGGGCAAGTGCCGGAAAGGCTATTTTGAGCTCTCGTTTACTTGTGTTAGATTGTGGTGATATCGTACTGTACTAGGCTAGAATTTAGTAGGCCCGTCCACTAGTTTCTTAATGTTTCCTTTGATTCTGATTGTCTTAGGTTCGTATGAGTTAATTAGCGCCCCGCGTTTCAACTTATCTTAACATAAGACCAATAACATAAACTTATTCATCGCCATCTAATCGAAGGCAAACAGAAACAAAGATATGAAAAACAGTAGTAGGGTATAGTGTAGTTTGGTACCACAAGTACTTCTCGCGGACTTGTCATAACCATTTTTGCATATGTTATTCCTAACCATCAACAGACTGCGCCATTCAAATACTACGTCACTACGACGTCACATCACGGGAAACTACATAATACCCAAAATTAGTAGTGAGATTATAACCTAACGGTAACCTTAATTGTCCTAGCCTAAGATAAAGAGAATCCTAGAAAATAGATCAAAAAATTAGCGGCTGACCAATAACAGACTAATACAGTTTACTATACTAAACGCTCCCATAAATCGATTCAATTTAGCGATAGTACCATTGACAAAATATTTGAAAAACAGACTTCAAGTTCAGTCGACTTTGAGCGCTACAAACGCTGTTCCTCAATGACCTTAACATGGCTAGTGTAGAGTATTGTGATGCATAAATGGCTACCGTGAAACAATTGTGATGATAGTGAGGTGCGTTGAACAATATTGGTAGTGCAGAGAGTCAAACACTCTACACGATCCGTGATTTTGTAAAACCGATAACGATAAAAACGCATCCAAATTTCGGTAACCTTGTAAATTTAGCGCTAAATTTAGTTTTGTAAACATACGCTAATAACTAAAAAGATTTGAATAAGTTTTTGCTCTACAGCGTATCCGACCACCACAAGAACAGCGTCATCTTTTGAATGTCAGTAGTCAAGTAAAGCTTAAACGTTGAAGTCAATGTTTGGTATCTCCAGCCCCGTGATCACAGTTAGAACTCCTCCATGATAAAATGGGTTGACGGCAGCGCAGATCGGTTCTTCAAATCCTGCTGTGTGATAAGTATAAAGAACGTCTCGCATATGGCAGTCGATAAAGGAAATGATACCTGGAATGCAGAATATAGGAACGCTCAAATACATGGAAGACAAACGACCAAGACAATCTGACATTGCCCGGGTCTTGCCCGGGCCTACTAAATGTAAAAGAAAGCGACCAATAATGTAGGGTCACCATTTTTGAAAAAGAAAAATTCCGGACAATGCGTGACTATTTTCATGACCTCGTAGTAAAAAATATGGGCACGGTACGAAATAGCAATGTTCTGTATTAGCAGTGTGCAAAGTACGATTGCAGATGCAGTGAAATTCCGGATTCCGGACATTTGGGGAGTTTTTTAATTCTTCCCGGACACAAAATTTAACCCTAAATTCCGAAATTTTCCGGACGGTGTGGCAACCGTACAATAATGTGCTCTTGGCAAAAATATTTGAAATATAAAATATTGCTATCACGCTATTGGAAAAAAAATTAGTGTTACACTTTTTCCTATATAAAAAATATATTTTTAATTTCATCTACATTCTTGCTTTAGACCTTTTGGTCCTGCTGAATTTTTCGTTATTCACAGGGTGAGTTGGTTTGATGAATAATAGATGTTTCGATGCCCTGATTACATGTTTACTCGCATTCGCATACAATTACAAAAAGGGATCAAGAACAAAACAGATTGATCGAGGGCTATAGTATGCATGACACATTCATTTATTGGACACAAAATGGACCTGTGGATCGTTTTGTTAGTAATTTTTTGTTTTGTTGGTATTTTTCTTCTTGTTATTACCGCATGACAATAATCGGTTTTCTCATTAACTACTGGATCAATTGCTTTGAAATTTTAACTGGTTGAAGATTGCATTTTTCTAAAAGGCTATTAGTTTTATTTATTTCAAAACTTTCTGTTTTGTGTAATCGTTTTTCACTTCGAAATTTTGTCTAACGACCTTTTGAAAATTAATACAGATTATCGGTGGGGAACTTCAAACTCTCTGCAGAAGTTTTTTGACGGTACCGGACTACCGGTACTGTGAAAGGTACGGTAGATTAGTGCTTCTCTTTGGTTTTTGTGTCCGTATATTTGAGCATCGTCCTCTTACTGAATATAAAATGACACTTCGAAGTAACTAGGGTGTGAATATTCTCGTATCCTGGTTTACCTGCTTCGTAGTCAATAAATATTCCTACTCTGGCGATGTCTTCTCCAATTTTTTTCCTTGGTAATTTAACATCAGCTGATTCTCCTGCGTGCCTTGCCTGAAAACATATTATAATCAAGTCAATATTAATCACATTTTGCATATTAACTAATCCCATACCCGACATTGACTGGTAACCGGACGAGAGGCCGTGGTTCGCCATATGATTAAGCCGTCCTATTGGCTTTTCTCTCCCCCGGGATAAATATGTAAATCTTATCCCATCAACCCCCATAAGATAACTTCCTGAAACGAACCTAAATATGAAATAAATATTTTACTCAGCTCTCCTGTTCTGGTATCATGATTTATTGAACATCTGTGACCGTGTGCCATTAAAACTTTTTTTAAATTTTCTACCGATGTCAAACAATTTTTCGTTTAGTAAATAAAACTTCGGTGTTTTGATGTTTTGCTAATATTTACAACTGTGCCCTTCGGGTCATGCTCAAAGTTTTAATATTTCAAAAATACTTTGAAGAAGTTTATTAAACGTTTAGTTGATTGTCTTGTACGCATATTTGACAGCGAAAATTTCAGACGCACGGAGGCCGTTATAATATTTAAAAACTGCAAAACAGAATAAATGGTCAACGTTTCGTCGGCGAAATGTTTTGTCCATAAGTTTGTTTTGCCTATGCAAGTAACCCTTTACAGATAAGTGAATGTCCGTATAGTATGGAGACATGAAAACATAAAACACCAGATGCTTAATTCCGAGAAATTAAGTTCTGACTAAAAGAAGTTCAAATTTGTCGCAGAAGCACCAATCCAGATGTAGCAGTTATACGGTTCTACGTTACGTCGGTGCGAATAATTGTCTTCAATTTTGGACCAATCCAGAATGTTTTATAAAGTTGGGGGGATCTGAATTTTCGAATTGCCATGTAAAAACGTAACTAGAGGGTCCGGGAAAACGTGGGAATTCCGGAGCATTGAGGGTCTAAAATACGTTTTCAGCTATGAAATGATGAAGCTATGATTTAGAAAATGCATTTTTATATTAGGTTTGTCTCTCATCTCCCTTGGCTACGCCCCTGAGTAGCTCTATATTTATATATGTTGACTGTTCGTACATGACATTAGTCGGAGTGAAGTCGCAAAAACGGTGTAATATATTTTGATCTAGTGAATCCCGCTAAAGAAGTGGCCAACAGATGAAGAAGCGCCAATTTAAGTGCGCCGTTATATTATGCCGTATAAAAGAGTTACTAAATTTCCCTAAAGAAGCCAAGATACGCTGCACAATTAACTCTAAAATACCAATTACGTTTTTGTCTTCTCAAACGTAAAAGTTTCGTAAACATTGCCGAAAAGTTTTAAATCAGATAATTGGTTATGATTTATTCATACGCCAGTTTCACTTACGCTGATTGCATTGTAAACAAACACACGGCGTGATGAAATATTCAGTTCACGTAAAAGAAAACATTGTTGTGTTTACGCTTCAAACTAGCCTTCATGACGGTGATTTTTAGTCGTTTACTTTGCGCGATAGTAACTCCTCCCGTAACCAATGGCGTATCCAGGGTGTGACAACTGTTTGGATTGGGACGCAAAAAAGCTAAATCGTAGAAAGTTTTCAAATTGGGAATATTAAAATCGTTTTTTTTTTACTTAAATAATAAGGTAAAAGTATCTAATTTCAACAGCAGTCGTTAATAATTGTCAGTCAGCGGTCAAAGGGGGCGCATTTCTAAACTCTGCCATAGGTGAACCCATTTCGAACATTCATTCATTTTATTGTCGCATTTTATATCCTGAGTGAATTTTACGTTTACGGAATTTACCGAAAGTGTAGGCAAGATGATAAAACTGAGAATCATTTGGTCTAAGCAATTAGACAAGGTAAAAAATCAATGGTCGTCTTTTCGATGGGACTCTGTAAATTAAGTTATAGTTGGTGCGACGGCTTTAAGATTTAGAGTGTTGGACTTTTTGGCATCGTATTTTAACTTCTTCTTTGGTTCAAATCCCATGCTCTCTAACTCACAATAAATTGTGTGGGCAATGCCGATCCGGAAACTAATTGGGATCTGCTTATATAAGTATCAAAGCGTATGTTAGCCAGGGCTCGTGCTATGGGCGCAAAATGATCGAAAAGTTTTATAAGTCAAATGTTCCAATGAAATAATTTCAAATTGGAAGTAATAGAAACTATTATTTGTACTCGAAAAAAGTACAAGGATGTCATTTCAACAACAACAGTTTAAAAAAAATTATCAACTGACAACCAAGGGGGCGAATTTTTGAACTTTGTGTAATTGTGCAAGTATTTTTACTTCATTTAATACACATGTGAGGACCAAAGCAACATATGGTATCGACAAATTACAATTCAAAAAAAAAAAATACTTATGTTCACCCTATATATGTATCTAAAAGTAAAACAATAAGAACCTTGTATTCTCGCTTGGTCGGATTGTAATGAAGAATCCATGAAGAGTCGTTGCTTCCTAACCAGCTGTTCCTCGGTACGTTACGATACGCTACTCCGACTGCCCAGCCATCTTTGTTGACAAGTACTTCCCAGTAATGCCTGAAATGATTATAATTACAGCTGCAAATTTCGTTTTTATCAATGGAAAGAGGAAATCCGTTAATATCTTCTAATTATGTTGTAGGCCTAGATAAACTTGAACCGCTGCTAGTCTAGGTCCTGTAGAATAATAAGTAACCAGATGTCCAAAGTTTGAATGGCTTGCTCTGCAGAGAACTGTTGGGCTGCCTTATAGATAGGAATACAGGAATGGATATATGGCTCGACTCTGAACAGTAACATATAGACCAGCGGTCGGCAACCTACGGCCCACGGAGCAATATAATCCGGCCCGCGACGTTTCACTGAATTGTAGTAACAAATTATAGCTGTTTTGTCGATTATATTCTTTACGCAAAAGAATTTACGTATAGACTACTAAATTATATTATAACGTAACAAGTATATAATTCACAATTACTCGTTTAATCAGCCTATAATTTAATTATATTTTAGACAAATGACAACAAAACGCAGAAAAGTTGATGCTAAGTGTAAATGGTTCAATAGCGCAAAAAATATTCAAATGGTCAGTCTTCGCGCGCTGCTTAAAATTTAACTTCTGAACTGTGTGATAAAATGTGATTCATCGGTCATCCATTCGATTTTTAACATTCTAAAAATATGTGCGGCCCGCCAATGACTTGCAACCTTTAATTTTGGCCCGCGAGCGACAAAAGGTTGCCGACCCCTGATATAGACAAACAACGATAGCTGACATGTGAGGGGGATACTACATTTTCCGAATGAGAAAAATCTCTTCATTTCAGCATATACCAAATTTATTACGAGGCTTTCAATAATCTTTCGTCACTCTATTATAAATTAGATTCTGTAACGTTTTCTCTAAGCAAAGTAAGATCGCTTGTCTGTTGAAGTCTAACTTACTGCAGAAGAAACGCAACAGAGTAAAATTGACGAAAGTGAGATGCAAGACGTATGAAACACTCGATATAGCCCTTTTAATTCTTGCTACACTACTTGCTTCAGTCAGCGAATACGGATCCTCTAATACAGGGGTGTGCAACAAGTGGCCCGAGGCCCACAACTGGCCCGCCAATTCATTTAGTGTGGCCCTTGTCAACACTCAGATTTTTCCCCACCAAGAATAAAATCCTAATCGGACATTTGATTTTTGAAAAGGCTCTCTCATGAATGAAAATACATAATGTTTTTCCGTTATTGCTGCGTTGAATATTCCGCTGTTTTGCCCAGTGTAATTATCACTGTAAGGCTAAACGATAGCCGCATTGTCTTCTCTTGCCTTTCTCCCTAAATTTTTTGTGCGGCCCAGTTAGATGTCTGAAGCTGGTTATATGGCCTACCGATAAAAGATTTTGTACAACCTTGGGCGGAGGAAAAGAAGTAAAGATTCGATCACCTTATTATATTTGGCCATCTACTTAATTCATTGTTATAACAAATTCCTAAATTTGAATATTATAAATCGAAAAAGGACAGAATCAAAACAAAAAATTACCACACGCATTTATTCACCCAATTAAAATAATAAAACCATACCTCCCGGTATAAAAAGAAATGTTCCCCAAGACGTTTAGAGCGAAGGTGAATCTCGTAGGTGACTTTTGTATTACACCTTTGTCTTCTCCGGGAAAGTGAACACTATATTGGTCAGGAGAAATCTGAAGTTTGGAATTTGCGGTGTCTGAGTCTAACTTGAACTTTGCTGGTTCTAAGAAAAGTAAAATGAACATTGTTATATAAAATGCTGTTGAAAAGGAAGAGAAAATTTACTAGAATATACACGTTTGAATTGAAACAACTATTGAATACCAAAAAACTTCGTTTCGCAACGGAAGTAACCTAATGTGAAAATGACAATATATCTAGAGGATTTGAATATCTTTTCTATGTACACTTTGCAGCGATTTTGGGATGAGCCTTCCGAATTTTATAGGTAAATATTTTTATTAACCTGTAGCTTTGACTGCGTCACTACGACAACGTGACGGTTTCAACAACGCAATGCGACGTACCGTGACGCACGACGAATAGTTGGAAATTGTTCAGCGACACATAGATGCTGAGTTTCGGAACTCCGATTAAGTCTCTGCACTAACAATTACAGATCGCGTAATATTTAATAGTACGTAAGGTACTACCGTAGTGTGCGTACCAGGTTTGGGTTAGCCCATAATTTCATTCCATTTTTCCTTATTTTAGTTCTATTACGAGTTCCGGGACTGTCTGTGCTAGTCACAACTTGATGTAAAGTAGGCGAACAAAATTAGTTACCTTCATATTGGTACACGCACTTCTAGAGCTTCGTATGTAAAGTATGCTCTTATTTTATAAAAAGGCCAGAATCTTTTCAGTTCAATGCCTGCCCAATTACTACACCCCTAGGTAAAGCGTTAGCCCGACGCGGAATTCGGACGCGCGACCTCTAACCTTACAAAACCTTACAACCTTACAAAAAGGTTACATCCAACGCTCTAAAAATTAGGCTTTCGCGTCTGCCACCATTGTTGTCTTTGTTGAGACATAAAATTTTATTTAACAACTGATCCAATTGCTTTCAAAGTTCCAGTTATTACACATTAAAGAGTTATTTCCCGAAAATTTCAATTTCTCCATCTCGTTGAAATTGTATGTCTGCAGACATTCATTTTCTACTCACGTGGCAATGTTTTAAAGATTGCTGATTGGCTAAGCTGAGTTGAAAATTCCGGATGATGTTTCTGTATTTGTACTGTGATGTCATGATTAGGACTCAAATCTTTGATGATGTAGAAAGTTTCTGTAATTCCGTACGCATTTCTGAGAAGAAAAATCAACCAATCATGTTTTTTATCACGGTCCTGTGAGTGTGACATAAATCGAAACAGCACAAAAATCATATAAAAAGCAGAGACACCAGAGCATAACTTGAGGAAAATTAAAAATGTATACGTACCATCATATTAACAAAAACAAAGTCATATAATTTAGATAATAATTTGTTTAGCTCTTCCGATCCGCCTCTATACATATCAAACTAGAAACTGGTTAGTCATTTCCATACACGCTCTGAACTAGTGGCAGAACAAAAGCAGAACTAGAACAGATCTTTTGCAAAAAAAGTAAGCGAAAGCATATAATTTCAAACATTCTGGATTTTAGTCTCAGTATGTTCCCAAGTTTGTTCCCTAAGGCAGTGGTCACCAAAGTGTGGGTCGCGACCCCAAGTTGGGTCGCCTTGAATATTTCGGGGGTCGCCGAGTGTCCGGCGTTGTATTCTTGTTATATTTTTCATTATTCTATTGCGTGCATTCTCGACTGAGCTGACTAGCACTACATAGTAAGTTTGGGTATTCTGAATTACAGTGATATCTTTTATAATAAGGCTATTGTGTGACGACAATAATTAAATTGTAACACGAAATCTAAAGCGTGTGATAGAGTTTTTGGGAATGAGATTTTACTGTGATTAGTTTTTAGTGGTTTGAAATATTTTTTTCTTTGCCATACCTAGGCGTCACAAGCTTATCATACGTCATAATTTTTGAAATGGGGTCGCGTCTTAAAAAGTTTGACGACCACTGCCCTAAGGTGTTTACAAATTTAGGTAGATATTATCCTATTGTTGGTAAAACTATTTGTAACTTATAAAAATGTGTCACGTATTTGACCCATAAAAAGCTACTTTTTGAATCCTCAAATACAATTTTATTTACGTTATAAATTGATATGTGGTGTCACACCTTAAAATTAGAGGAGTGTTAGAAATTTTATGAGGGGGGATGTAGGAAGACCACTTTCACAGGCATTCTATTTGTTGGTAACACAGAACCCAACAATACTTATTCTAAAACTCAGAAAACTTTTGAATTAAACGAATCCCATCAAAGTTATTATAAACGTGCTGGTTGTGTAATGAAGTTTGAATATGGGATAATCGGTACTCCCGTAGTATGTAAACCAAGAAGGCGGACACCGGAACGTAGTATGTGTACCAGGTTAGAGTTGGGCCATAATTCCAGGGACATATACTACGGGAGTCACTTGACTAGTTCCCGAACTCGTAATAGAACTAAAATAAGATAAGACTTAACTCTAACCTGGCACACACACTACAGGAGTACAGGATATTTAGCCTGGGCGAGGCTAAATGATTAGCATATATACGAAAAAGGTAAAAAATACGTACCTTTTCACGACTTTTCCATCACTAACAAACTCCCAAAAAACTTCGTATGTGACGTCATCTGTGTCGTCATCACCAGTCCATCGAACCAGTACGTTATTCTTAGTTATGTCATTACGAGAGGCTTGGGCAAGAATAACTGGCGCGATATTTCGGGGAGTATTTTTTGAACTCTCATTGGGTTCATCTAGAAAATATTCAATTATATGGTTTACAACAGAAAAATTCAACTATATTCTCACCAAAAAACTTATTGCAGAGCTTCAGAATTATTGGGGTCGGATCATTAAAGAAAATATCTCACAGTACGCCTGAAAAAAATTTGGGTTGAAAATTGACAGATAAACGACAGCTTTGCTCGGGGTGAAAACCGTACAAGGCCTCACTGGAGAACCAGAAGTTTATGACGTGGAATTGACACATGCAACCAATGTTCCCTCTAATTTTTTGTAGTATGTGTGCGCAGAAATTTTGGTGTGTGCGCAATGATTAATATTTGTGCAAAAACCAATGAAGAAATTTTGGCGTTCTAACAGGGTAATGGGTGGGCCAACAACAAACTTTCTCAACCTGCCAACCGAGAACATTGTTACATTACATCGAAATACGTCTGTGTGCAGTAAATCTATGCGTGTGCGCAGCCTCTGAAAGCTGTGTGCGCGCGCACACGCGCACACTTTAGAGGGAACACTGCACGTAACTGTTATAGGCAGTTACATATCTAGAGCCATTGCTTCCCGCAATCCTAGCTAGGACACAAATGTCGGCATACATGTACAAGTTTTTTTATTTAAATGTAAAACGCATTATTAAAAAGGTATAATAAGGTACCAAGAGGTATAATAATAAAAATAATAAAAATTCAATGTAATCCGCTTCAAATTGATGCGCTTAAAAATATACATTCTTACAAACCAGTAATCGTTTATACAAGGCAAATATATACTTTTCTGATATCAGCCTTCATCGCATCAACAAGGTTATTTGGGTACAATAAATAAGGTAGGCGATCTTTGCCAGAAAGACTATATATATACTTGATTTATTTTAAGTCATTTAAGACTCGTTAATAATAGTTAGTTATCTTCAATCTTGCCTCTGTATCCTCGCATTATATGCTCCACCGTGCAAAAGCATAGAAAGATAAAGTAGTGAGTCCCGCGGTGACCCCATAACATACATATTAATATTTTTACCTGACATCATGTTTTCTAATATCCTTGTCATCTCGTCTAGTTTATCTAATCCTAGACGTTCCTTGGTCACATCCATTCCTTCAATTTCTGGCAACGTTCTTTCGCTTGCCATCGTGAATCTGCAAATGAGACGAATGGTTAATTGGACTGTTCGCATCACGGTTTACAATTTGTGGGCGCGGTAACATAGATAGAGCATAGTCCAGTGGTTTCAACCAGAAAAGTTTTCATACAAGTTTCCATTCATATCTGAGAGTTCATAATATAGTTTATTTATATACTAATATATGAATATATATTGTTCAAATATGATCGAATACTTTCCACTATAATTAAACTTGAACACTTTAAAGATCATTAGGTTTGCGTTTATTTATATTTATCAGTTATACAATTCAACTATTGCACAAGGGTTCCTCGAGCATCTGAAATACTTCATTCGGGCTCCGGTCACCAAAATGATTGGAAACCACTGTTCTAAAGGTTACAGTGCTAACTTTATTATGCTGGTACAACATTTTGTTTGAAGAAATCCAACTGTGAATACAAAGTAATGGATAAAAAGTACCAGCTAACAGTATAATGCAAAACATGTTGTTTCAAATAACTGCAAATGTTGGTATTACACTTCATCCTTATTCCCCTGCAAAGGTCTACTCAAATAGCTAAAAAAGATAACTAAATTATTGAACATGATCATAGCTGTTATTTGCCGTTTTTTCACAATTCACAATGTGTTGTTTACATAGACTTTCTACCTCCGTATTCCCTTCCCGGAACTTGAACCAGGTTTCAATAAATAAATAAAATTGATTAGCAGTGTTAATTCAGGAAAATATCGGTTTTTTCCAAAACACCAACAACTTCTGTAAAGGTAGTTGATTTTTGGAGTCTGGCTTGAAGTGTATGCGTGAAAACACATGATAAAGAAGCACTATTTATTATACTGACATTTTTATTGCGAATCCCGATTTCCGACATTAATTTCAGTAACCGCTTTGGGTCGTAGTAGACTGGTCAAGTGGGATGATTTTAAAAAAAAATGGTGTAAATCAGCAGTGTGCAACTTTTAATACAGGAGGGTAAGATACAAAAAACTGGGTAACACCGCGGGCCGCTCCGTTATTTAACACAGTCTTTCTAGTAGTTGCACGTACAAAAATGATGGTTATTGATATCTGCGCAAAACTGAATTTACCTTTGTTTCAATTCCTTTAAAGTTTGTTCCCTTATTGTATCGTCTTTTTCATTTTTCACTCTTCTTGCAAAACTTAAAACACCGGCAATAATTTTCATGTTCCGCCGACAAACGTCCATCTTTTCCCGCAGGAAATCAGTTCCTTTTGCTCGATGTTTCTAACAATATAAACGTAGGATGTTCATCAAGTCATAAAAGTTTTTAACATTGCGAAGGAAATTTATCGATACCATATATTGTTTTGGCCTTCACAGGTGTATTAAATGAAGTAGAAATACTTGAACAATTACTGATTAAAAAAAAAAAAAAACCCGGTTAGGATATATTGAAAACTGACTAACAAAATTGAAATTGTAAAGAGAAATTGTGGACTCCCTGTATATTCAGTACTGGCTATGGTACGCACAAGATCTTTAAGGTATACTATTTAGTATAATACGTCAAGAAAATAGCTATCACGTCCACAGACTGGTGCAACATCAAGCTATAGCAAAATTACGAATTGGCCCGAAATTTCAACTAGATATTCCCCGGTAGACCTTCAAACTAGACCAGAAGTGGGCAAGGTGTTTGAACCAGGAGCCAACAATTTTGCCCACCTAGAATGACAGGCCATGTAGGTGTGATGTAAAAAGTTACATTTCAGGAACAATATTCACAGTGTCACAAAAGCAGAAGTGGCAAACAATAACCCTTGTGCCAAACCAATATTTAATCGCAATCTCAACGATTTCTTGAGCTATTTTTCAGCTGAAAGGTCAAAAATGTAGTTTTAGTTTGGTTGTCGCAGCATCAGGCGGCCAGATTGAATTACCCAATGAGCCGGATTTTGCTCGCGGGCTGTCGTTTACCTAAGTCAGAAATATAACAGCAACACCAATTTTTTAAAATGGTCCATAAATTAATTTCGTAACCAAAAATTCCGCTACATTCTCAATAGGCTTGCACGTAATTGACAAAAATCAATTCCGTAATTACGGCCAAATCGATTACGTAATGACCCCGTAATTGCGATATCTTTTCACACATTTAAACCTATCATAACAACCAATTTAATCCACTTCTATTCCGAATGGGACATCGAAGTTTGGTTTTCATATTTCCGGCAGTACTACATGCCGGCGACAGATGTTAAAGACAAATATCAAGGAGTGGATTCAAAATAATTTTATTCTGATTTTTATCAGATTTTGTATTAGCTTTGATTTTCCTCTATCAACTTTATCACCAAATTTTATGCGATCAATTATATCATTACCAACACTGGTAATATATTTATGAAACGATAGTTGACTTTTTTAAAATCGTATTAACGTATTAATACGACTTTCGTATTAAATAAAAATTCCGGGTTGCTAATTTATTAATCAACTACAAGCGTATTCTCTCGTTTGATTATACTTGCGTTTGCCTCGCGACGAAGACTTGTTATTTCTCCTTTTTTACAATATCCGACTTTACTACTTAGTTAGCATTTTATAATAATTATTGATGCCGACTTATTGACGATATTCCGATTTCCATGCTTCATTTTACATTAAATCATTTCGCGGCCTAAATGTTATAACATTATTTGCGATAAATTTAAATCAAATATTAATTATTTGTGCATAATTTAAAATACCGTACTTATACGACATGCCTTCTCCGAAAATACAAAGTTATATCGCAAAACAATGCATTTTGTGACATTTATTTTGCACTCATGAAAATATTAATTTATTTTTCTAACTCAAGTCGACAATCCTATTTGCCAAGATTGACACAAGTTTGGTCGAGTGCCGGTGGTATTCGAGTCGACGGTAAATCAAAATAAGTTGCCGCATTTGGTAAAGACAGGTAATCATATTTGGCCGACATATTGCGAGGCATTGTTAAAAACATATTGAGCAATGCCAAGTCCGGTAAGTAACGATAAAATCGGTAACAGAACATCAAGATTTTGTAATAGAAAATGGATCTCGCGCAGAATAAACACGGGAAATCCCGTCGTATTGTTGTTTCTCTGCCGTCTCAATCGCTTTACCGATGCCGAAAAGACTAAGTTGCGTTGGTTCATTACGCAATTTCTCTTCCGTCTTTATATTGCTGTTTGAGAAGCGCGACATTAATTATCACGGCATTTACAAATAGACCATGTTTTACAAGTTGATCTCTTACATTCTTTAGTCATTTCACCCGAAGAAGTTGAAACCAGGTGTGTTGGCGTCCATCGGTCTCAACGCAATTCTATCCCTTATCTACGGTTAGTATGTACATTGGCCATGCTAGATAAGTTGATAATATGTTAGTAAGTGACGCGTTATGCCTTCCCCATCTGCGTAACAAGAGAGAGAAAAACGGCTGCGAATACCGGAACTCTAACTTCTTCTACTTGAACTTAATTTTTTACAATCGACCGAATTGACTGCTCTGAAGAGAGCTCGTTTCAATCGCAAAAGCGCTCGACCAATAATTACGACCTTACGTAATTCGTAACTTCGCTTCCGTAACTCGAAATAATTCCGTAATTCCGTAAATCCGTAAATTACGTGCAAGCCTAATTCTCAAACTAATTTACGAAATAAAATACCTTAATATTCTCCATAAAGATGCCTTGTTGCCTGTGCAGTAGAGCCACCACGTGGTTGATGTCCTTCGTAAGGGTGACTTCATATTCTGTCCAGGAATCCTAAAAAGAACAATAGAGTTATGCTCAAATATGTGGATACGCAGGGCAAAACGAAATATTTTATCATCTAGTCCCCGAAAATGATATGCGGTAACTTACTAGTACCTGTATCAGGGTAACGGTACATGGACTGCACTAGTTTTCCAGTCTAACCACCAGATCACTGTGATGTGATCACGAAACCACGGGCACGCAATTTTTAATTTGATGACGTCATCACACAAAACTTCGAAGAGAAAAACAAATCGCATAGAGATCACAGATATTTTCGAAATAAATAAAAAAAGCAATTGGTCCAGACCACACCACGGGTATGGAATTCTCTTTCCAGTTATTTGACACACGTTCTTGGTAGCTGCGAAACATGTAAATAAATAAAGTGCGAAACTCCCACTTACGAAATGAGAAAAAGAGGGCGGTTTAATCTTATGCTGAACAACGGCACCTCGTCTTGTTACCAGTCTATGTCGGGCATGGGATTAGTTAGCCAGTTATTTGTTTCAGACGACATGGACTTGGTGTAGACTGTAGTGTAGACGAGTGGTTCCCAAACTTTTTTGACCATCGCCCCCCTAAAGTAGTTTATGCAACTTCATCGCCCCCCTGCACTACAAAAAATTATAAAGTCAGAAACGAATATATTACAGACCAAATAAGAAGACAAATAATAGTTTATGGTGTTTTTTAATGAATAGATGAGCTTGGTGTTCTTCAGCGAGTTTTTATTATATCTAAAATTACCCCGTTTACTGATGGAAAGGTGATTTCGTTGTTTTAATAGCAATAGTAGCACGGCTGAAAACCCCTTTTTCACCATATAATAGTCGAAATGAAAGAATCCAGGGTTCTACCTCCTCAAAAACCGCCGTGTACTCTTGCCTTATAGCATTTCACTTCCTAAATTCACCCCATTTCACATTAAAATAATAAAACAAAGTTAATTTTCCCAAACAATATAATAATGATTTTCGTACATCTCATTCATTCGTACAGCCTGATGACCTGCACCAAAATATTTCGGAAAAATTCATCCCGATTCCTCATCCTATCACGGCCTCCAGTCCGATCACCATTCCATAATTAACCAGCCATTTGTTTTTGGATTCATGACTCGGATGTGGAAGAAGCCGTGACTGACTATCGGCTACGGCCCAGGGGTCGGCAAATTTTATGTCGCTCGCAGGACAAAATTCAGGGTTGCTAGTCTTTTGCGGGTCGCATATATTTTTTGAAAGTTAAAAACGGAACAGCACGCAAAAACTGCGACAATTCGTGAACTCAACTCAGTCGTCTTATTAAAAAAATATTACAATGATATTTAATGTGACACTGTCTGTTGCTGCATCACGCTGGATAGCTTTACGACGCCAAGATTGAAACATTTTCTAAATGGGCATCACCAAACCCACTTCTTTGCTTGTTCTTTGTAATGTTCATTTTCGAAAATAATGTTTGCACAAATATGTACTTCCAAACATCGAAGTGAATATTTTCGCATGATTTGTGAAATTTTGATAAATATTTTCTTTAAGAAGATACATTCTTACAAAAATTAAGCAGTGATGAATCTCTCGATAGAATATGAATTTATTTTCTTATTGCTTTGCAATATATTCGAATATTTACTGCGCTATTGAACCCCTGCACTCAGCATCAACTTTTCTGCGTGTTTCCATTTGTCTAATTATAATTAAATTGTAGGCTCGTTAAACGAGTGGCTGTTCACTAATTGTTAGGATATAGTATAATTTAGTCTAAACGTGTCTCACGATAAATTCTGTTACGTAAAAAAATGTAATTTACTCCTCGAGCGTAGATTATAAATAAAAAATTTCATCGTCAAAACCGCCGTTTGGATATTTCCCCGGGCATAGACTTCCTTGTTTACTTCGTGACATTGGCCAATCAGCAAGATGCAAAAAACGAACAATGCCCCCTTTCGCATCCGCTCAGGCGCTCAGACACTCTCACTCAGACAGATTTTCAGGGTGGTCGTGAACACTACCTCATTTTCGCATTTTTGAATATATTCGTTGTTTTTAGTTGTTTTTCGGAAATTTAAATATAAATCAAATAAGTCAATGATTACTTTGTCTTTCCATGAGTTTCAGTTTAAAACAGCAATCAAAAATAGTGTAGAAATAGCTGCGATAGACTAGGCTGAAATTCTTTATCGGTACTTTTAAAAAAACAGATTGTTGAATGGTGTGTATTAGAATGAGTAGAAACAAATACCCCATTTAAAGGCAACAACTCGCGAACCACTCTTAAAATAAGCCCCGAAACTTTTAAATGGTAAAGTATGGAAGAATTTTCCGCAGTCAAAGGTCGGGGAAAGGTCCATTAGTGAATCGTCCAGGGCCAGATTATTTTACTCCGGCCGTATTTTGCCGACCACTGGATAGCAAACTACCTTACCTTACTGCGAAGACGAGACCAGATCCATTCGCGTGGGAATATCGCCCACATGATTCAAGCCTGCCAATGCACACAGAGTACAGAATTAAGTGCGCCGAACATAAAACAGGTTTTGCGAAATCGCCCCCCTATCGCCCCCTTAAACTTTTTCGCCCCCCTCTGTTTCGTTTTCGCCCACTGGGGGGCGATATCGCCCACTTTGGGAATCACTGGTGTAGACGAAACATGTAAACGAATTAAATGAAATAAAGTGCGAAATCCTTGCTTACGAAATGAGACAAATTCCCCAATGCGGATCACATATTAATGCAATGTTTGACCATATTATTATATCGCCGGAATGACATTTCGATTAGTTTTCGATATCTCGCGTTATAATCATGAAGTTAATCTTACGTCAATTGAATCCATTAAAACGCCAAATCAATTATACATAAGTCAGCTTAGTTGCGCGTCCAATAGAAAGATTGATTTCCATTTGACCAGTTCATGGGTTTAATTTTAGAAGCACAACCCTGCTTGAACTTGAAAATACCGACTCGAACCGGTTCAAACCTGTTTTTTTCAGGTCTTGAAAGCGAGTCTTAAATTCTAATAAATCTTCTAAAAACATACTGACATATGTGTTGACTACAGATATATATATATATATATGTAGTTATCGATACATCAGTTATCGATTGCCACTTATCTGCCATTACGGTTTCTTAAATTTTAGTTGAAGGGCTGGGACTTTTTTCATGCAAACTTTTATCAAAAAATTAAGTGAAGAGCGCTCTCATGAAATAATATCGACAAAGTTTGAAAGATGTGTCTTGATCGTCGAATGAAAATTTTAATGGCTCCTCTCTAAGCACTCTGTGCCCCAGTTGGGAACCGCTGTTATATGCATCCGAAATGTCGACAAACTATTTCATTTGCCTCTTATCCGTTATGAATTTACTATTAATTACTAATTACTAACCATTTGCGATATATTACAACGTTTTGAAGTTAGTTATTATTCTTGTTTTCCAAATTCGAGTCACAGACCTACTTTGCATTCTGTACAATGACTAACATCCTGATCAGCGTGTTTCCAAAAATAACTAAAAAAGCCGGGACATGGAACCGACAGGTGTGTGATTTCAGTCTGGTTTTATAGAACAACAATCTGAAAATCTCATTATTTTATCACAATTGTGTTTTCCCGCGCTCATTGACGTAAGCAGAAATCGATAGTTACGTAACAATGGATTAACAATGGGTCCAAAATTAGCGCGAATTTTGTTTTCCCGCCGAAATAATGAAGCGGGATTAAAATAACAAGCTTCTCCATTTCGTTTCGCCAACAAATAGAGTTTAATATTAGAAAAAACGTCCGATTCACTCGTATTATTGATTCCTTCTATAAAGTAAAGGTCAACTACAAAATGTAAATTCTAATTAGTTACCTTGCATTGATTAAGCTAAAGGTAACGTTTCCCAATCGGGAGAAATTCGTCCCCAGGGAGGATTTTTGTCGTTATGAGGAGGAAGTTTGCTTTGTATTTGCTGTAGGTTTACTGATAATACTAATGTACATACTATAAACTGCTCAAATTGTACTAAATCTGGAGTGTGACTTGCGCGTAACACTAGTTAAGAATCCACCAAAGATTGAATACATAAAGTACTCTTTATACACAGTGAGAGAGGATTAAAAAGTTCTAAAAAAGTTTATTTTTAAGGAAATTATCATATCCACACCCTATTTCAACATCTATATTTTACTGTTTCTCAGTATAATAATGCACTAACATCTAATTTGTCCTTGAACCTAATCTGAAGGTCAAACAAATATTGAAAAAATTATGACGTAACAAACCTCCGATTTTTTGAACAAATGTTAGAAAATTATGTGGAAGATTTTGATTTAGATATTGATAGAAAATTCGCCTTGCGACCCGGAAGCTGTCATGATTTTGACTATGAAAACATGCAGATGATTTTAACCTACTACGTCTAATAGTAAAACTTTGGCGCTTCAGAAGTATGTGAACCAAGATGGCGGACATCCGAACGCAGTATGTGTACCAGGTTAGGGTTAGGCCACAATTTCAGGTACAAATACTATGGGAGTCACTTGGCTAGTCCCCGAACTTGTAATAGAACTAAAATATAGAAAATTGGAATGAAATTATGGCCTAACCCTTACCTGGTACACATACTACGTTTCGGTGTCCGCCATCTTGGTGCACATACTTCTGGAATACCAAAATTTCTGCACTTCTTTGCCGCTCAATAATAACCTTGACCTGATTTTAAAAGTTATGGAAAAATTAAAAAATAATGATGACGTAACAAACCTCCGATTCTTTTAACAATTGTTGTAGGTCATGAAGACGATTTTCGTTGACGACGTTTTGCTCTTCGAGTCCTTCGATCTTCTCAGTCACGTAATCCCGGAACTCGCTCACAACTTTAAGAAAGAAATCCTGAAAACATGAAAGTTATTTTTGTAGAAGTATGCGCACCAAGATGTCGCATAACCTGAACCCTAACCTAGTACATAACCTGAGTTCAGGTTGTGCGCCATTTTGGTTCGCATACATCAGGAGGTCCGATTTTGTAAATATCTTTCCGGTTCGGCACAACCTGCCCAATTCATTGCACCCTGAGAGAGGTGGTGGGTATCTGGTTGAACCCGCGATGTGAGCACCAGCCAGGTGGGAAAATTACGACCCGCGGGCCGGATCCGACTCATCAAAGTGTTTTATTCGGCCCACTTTGTCTGCTGAAATTACGACTATAATTTTATGATATAAATTTCCACTGAAAATATCAATCAAAATAACGTCATAATAACCCGATTGTGCTTCTTATTATTATATAAACGTTAGCCTAGCTGTTGGCCAGCTGTTGTAAATGAACTGTTCTTCATAGTTGTCCATATTCAGTTTTAAGCCTGCGCCCAGTAACCAGTAATTATCTGTAACTGGCCCAAAAGTAATTGCCCATAGCAATGACGTAATCGTTCATGAGTCATATAATTATCATATCACACCCTGATTCAAATAATAGTATAATAATGCACTGAAATTTTATAAACTTACTATATCTTCACCGTCGTTAGATTCAGTCATTCCTGACAATCTTCTTATGGCCCGTGGAGAGGTCTTGGGCTCAGTCCCTGTTACTTCCGTGTTTACTTCTGGGGCCAACTGATAAAACCCGGAATCGGAAGTGTCCTCTGAACTTGCCGACATTGCAGAGCAAGTTGATGCACGACCGGGACTTTTTGCTTCGGTACTTTTTCGTCGAGGTGAAGGAAGAAAGTCTGTTTTAACGTAATTTGATGATGTCACACTCGATGACGTGAATTCGACATTTTGTCAGTAGTTCTCAGTCATTGTTTGCTTTGTAATTGAGTAATAGAAAAAGATAGTTATGCTAAAATCTGTTGAAAATAGATGAATAACATAAATTTACAACAATACTGCCGAGATATATCCCAGATTTTTTTAAATAACTAAGAACATATTACATCGATACAAACAAACACAGGTTAAAATAAAACTAACGTGTTCAAGATATATTGAGAACTGACTTCATAACAAAACCGAAATTGCAACAGGACTATGTGAACACTCTAAAAAGCCTCAATTTTAAATATCGTTTGTGTCCAGCTCTTTTGATTAGCTAAAACCTTAGTTTTCGAAAATCAATTCGTTTGAATCTATCTGCCTTGTTGGATTGCGTAAACCCAAACCTTAGTTTTGAATATCATTTATTTTGCGTCTGTCTTATTGAATCGCTAAACCTAAATTTTAAATATCATTTCGTTTGCGTCTGCTTTCTTGATTCGCTAAACCTCAATTTCAAAAATATTTTCGTTTGCGTCTGCCACATTGAATCGCTCAACATTAGTTTTAAATATCATTTCGTTTGCATCTGCCTTGTTGGAAATGGTTAAAACCGTCATTTTGAAATATCATTTCGTTTGCATCTGCCTTGTTGAAAATGGTTAAAACCTTGATTTTAAAATACCATTCCGTTTGCATCTGCCTTGTTGATCGCTAAACCTTAATTTAAAATATCATTTCGTTTGCGTCTGCCTTATTGGATCGCTAAACCTTAATTTAAAATATCATTTCGTGTACGTCTGCCTTATTAAATCGAAAAACTTTAATTTTAAATATGATTTCGTTTGCGTCTGCCTCAATGAATCGCTGGACGCTAAAGCATGTTCAATTATGCATGAAATGACTAGAAAGCTAATCGGGAACAAAGATTATCCGCTCTATGAAAACCGAGGTTATGTAAGTACAAAAAAAAACGATATAATTTAGTTTAGTCAATGATTCGAATGTTTATATTGACAAACTTCATCAGGACAATCTATATAAAAAATAATAGAAGTTCTTTTGTATGAACATCGAAATGTTGCTAAACTGTATTTTATGCTGCTTACCATACACATTTTCACCATGGTAGAAATAATGAGCTGGCAAGATATGTATAGGTCTTTTGATTTATTTGCACACAATGATTTTCCTACATCCTCTTCCTGGTTGCGAAGTTTGACACCACATTTTAAATTCCTTACTTAAATATATTTGTATTTAAATATCCAGAAAGTGGCGCAAATCTGATGCAGATGTTCAGTCAAATACATGACACATATTTATAAGTTACGAATAGTTTCATCACTAATATCAAAATATTTATCACCCCAAAAAATGGAACCCTTCTCCCTAAAAGGAAAAGCTTGGGAGCATACTGGTTGCATTTATTGTTTCATCCCTGCTTCTATTCATTGCCCCGAAAAAAATGTGCCTTAGTACTGCAGTACTATTAACCAACGGGTTGCGTAAGAGATTTTCGTGAAGGAGACACCATATACACTGTACCGGGTCTGGACACATAGAATATTTAGATAATTTTTAGTATGTAATTGAAACTAGTATTTTTTTCACCCTTATTCCACCAATTATCATTAATTTCACTAAAAATATTCAATTATGCCCTGTGTCCATCTTAATGGACACTCTGTATATTGTCGAAGAAAGCGTTTGGTATTGTATTGTGAAGCTTTTGATAAATACGACAAGAAGTAAAATTTACATTATTTAAGTCATTCTTTAAATGGACAACAGCAATGAAATCTGACAGCATTCAGACAGTATTTTCGCCATTAAAAAGCTTTTTCGAAATATATCAGTGAATTGATTAGACATGATTAACGGTTAATTAGTATGATTAATTGCCAAACAAATCACTGCGAGAAACCTTCGAAGTTTATTGATCAACAGAGCATACTCCAATATCATTTTAGACTAAAATATCCGAAAATTCGAACATGGGGTGACACTTTTAAAGTCTTTTATTATCGTCACCATTTAAAACTGACTCTTATCCTGCTTTGGCAAATATTAAGGTGCTATAGGTCGCAGATCTGGGGGATTTTTAGTTAGGGTTAGGAACTGAATTCTATGAGGATGAGATTAAACGCATGCCAAAGTGGCATCACAATTGGTGCGACGTTGTAGACTTTAACCTTCTAATTGCTATACATAGAATAGACTTCTTTTAACTTCTGAGACTGCAAAAACTGATTCAAAACAATGCTTTTTTAAATGAGTGGTCGACAACTCTTTCGGCGGAGTGGAACCTCAATGAAACATTTCATAGGCTCAAAGAAATCCTGTGTAGTTGCTCACCTGTATTTTATAGACTATAAATGTATATAAAAACAAACCTAAACTGGCAAAACAATATGATCTTTAGGGTGGAGCAAGCTTAATAATAGTGGCAAACCGAAGAGGCAGTTCGCTATATTTAAACAATATACATATATTATTATGAATGCTTAGCTTGACAGGAAACTTTCGGAACTCATGCACTGTGCTGACGAAACTCTAAAAGGGTGCCCCCCCCGCCGGGAAAAATATCGTTTGGAAACTCACTGGCCTATATCCAGTGGGGTCCCGCAACCCTGGCGAAGGAGGGGGGCAGTGGGGGTCGCAAAGAGTACACCAGTTCCACACAAAGTACTATCTACATTTTTAGACTTTTGATTCAACATAAAACTAGTGCAAAACATAAATCTTACGATTTCGAGAGAACAACATAGGATCAGGAAAAGCTGCTTGCATAACAATGCCGACTTAACAAGAGTCGCTGAAAATTCAATATATTGGAAGTGGTCGCGAGCTTAAAAGTTAGGAACCTGCACCAAAGTCTGAACTAATCCGCATTACAAATTCAATCAATTGGTTGCACAGAAGTACTGCTTCCCTTCAATTCAATCTGACACTAACACATTACTTAAGCGCTTCTCAATTAAGTCCCTGACGCCATAATCTGCGACCAGAGCTCGGGACTAATAGGTATTATTGACAGCTATAATACCAGCTTCCAATCGCCGTTTGAATACTGCTAAAAATAAAACAAAATTAGTAAAAACACATCGTCATTAAATTTAAGAAATAAACAGCGGTGACCTCGCCGTATTAATTATTCAAGTTTGTACAAAGATATATCATTCAATTACGCGTGGCCCGTGTGTATCTCAAGTCTGATATTTATTTCTCGTAAATCAGTTACTTAAAAATTCAAATAATTTAACTAATATTTCAATAGCCCTTTGCTCTGCCGCTCATATAGGCTTATCGCCGATTAATCGATATTCGCTAGAAGAAATTACATCCTAAATTGAGGTTCGTGTATTGATTGAAGAATGGAACCCGTAATCTGGTCAGGAAAACCGATGAATGTATTAAATACCAATATACCGCAGCCTGCTTCTGATCGCCGAAAACGCTTAATCGCCATAGATTACTGATATCAAAAACGAAATGGCATTTTCAATTAACATAGAACTAGCATACTTCAGTTTTACATCATGTCTAGCTATTTTTGCCTTGTTCTCCATTCGTACATCTGAACAATATACAACTACTCAACAGTATCAGCCGTTATGAATCTGAACACTCTGATAAAATTGTAGGAGTCAAAACTTCCCAAACTTTAAGCTCGCAACCCCTTGCAATATATTAAATTTTTACCACACCCTGTTAAGTCGGCATTGTTCCGCAAGCGCGCCGTTACTCTGATCCTATGTATTATTCTCTTGGAATCGTGAGATTTATGTTTTGCACTAGTTTTAATAATTGTGTTTCGAATCAAAATTCTAAAAAAGTACAATAGATATAGTACTTTATGTGAATTAGTGTACTCTTAGAGACTCGTAAAATTCGTTGCGCGGCGGCCAGTTTGGAAGCCCTGATATAAATCATACTTTGACGCGAGGTACACGCGAGGTAACTTAAGGCAACAAAATTGTCACATCGCTATACCATGACGCTTCGGCTATGACGTAATCAAAATGAATACTGATCCGAAGTAGATTCGTATTCTGATTCGTAAAATAAAAAATTTAATGTAAACAATTAATAACTATCGAAACTTAATATAACATGTATTAAATGCCTTATGAGAGGAATGTTATGTTCAGTTCTAAGGAATCTGAACAGTCTTTGGAAGTTGTATGAAATATACGGATTATCATCATATGTTATTATTGTCAGATAGCTCACTTTTTACCAAAATAATCAATACGGAAATTGTACATTAAACTCGGTGATTGCATTAAAATTCAATACTACGTAGCCTGCTACTGATCGACGAAACGGCTTAGTCGTCAGCTTGCTAGGATAATATGGTCCATAAGCTTTGCATGTCCAATTTCATATCCTTCGTGCGTCATCACGCAAAAGTTCATAGTGTGAAACGAATTTCATAGAGCCCACGAAAACTTTTGAAATAAATAATTTCCCCATAGCGACCAATCAACAACAGCAACACAATAACAAAACGATCTATAGGCCCACTTTGTGTCCAAAAAGCAATACCAAGCCATTCAACATCACGTGCTATAGCTCGGCTTGAATATTTCCGAATCTGATTCGTAAATTATGAGGTATTAACTATTCCAAACATGCCCAGATGATAAGAAACAAATAATACAGCCAGGGATTCCATCGACTTGGAACCCAAAATAAGGACGACTGGAAATATTTCTGCATTGTGAGCAGAAATAGCTGGCTTTCCTATGGCCTCCAGGTTAATGTCACAATTACAGACGTCACAGTGTGCGAAGCACTTCGTTTAACTTTTAAAATTCTTTCCCGTACTCACCACGAAAAACGTTTAACGTTTGCTCATTTTTAAATTTAGGCTAAAATAACCACCACCACGCCAAAATCTAAGGATCGCCACACTAACAACGCTTCATGTTTATCTGTGCCTTGCTTCTTTGTGTTCCAAATAAGATTATGCTGCTTATATGATGCCACAATAAAGCTTTGGC